TTGGTGACAGATGAGAGTCTATCAGGTCGTCACTGGTACCCTTATGTTGGGGCCATGGTTCTAGCCCAATGCAGAGCTCCATGTAGGTGACCCTACTCAACCGAAGTTTTGCTACCACTGCCCATCACCCCAGGCCTCTAAGACTATCTACTCCCACAAGTTTCTGTTCCTTATTTTAAAATCCTGTTCCTGCCATTGCAGGACAGAAACTGCTAAGCAGAAGCCAGGTGGGGTCATATACTCAAAAGACTCTCATATTGTCACTTAGATATTCCTGGAAGCCTTTTTGGTCAAGAGGCCTAGAAGCATGCTTGGAAACCAGTTCTCTATCCTCTATTTATGTAGCACCTCAATAGCATTCCCTCTGGCACAAAATAAAGCACTTCAGTTAGGAATGGCCTGTGTCACACAAAAGCACAACAGATACACACAGGATCTAGTACAATTGACATGAATAGTTGTCCATCTCCAACTTTATTCTCCAATCATTTGGGATGTTCTTTGACAAAGCAGTGAATGTGTTTTAGATTTTACTCCTGCATGTCAAAATATATTTTTTCCTTGCCCACGTTAGGTCTTCCTCTCTCCTTCGTGAGCACCTGGAAATTGGAAATGTAGCCCACAGGAGATTTCAGCCCTCAACAGATCGTAGACTGGGTCCATAATTCTAGTAAGCTGTAGAGGTGGTAATTGCTTCATAATCAGCGACACTACACCAATCCTAAGGAGAGTGGAGGGGGGGATTGTTTTCTTTTGTTTTTCATTTTCTTTGCTATTCATTTCATCCTGATATTTCAAACTCCCATCTCTCTCTCTCTCTCTCTCTGTCTTTTTTGGGGGGAGGGGTTGTTTACTTGGTTCTATTAATATTATGGCTTTGCCTGTACAATAATATGACATGCCCATCAGCAGAAGTGTCTGGAGTATTATCACCTTCTCAAAGACAGAATAAATAATGACTTCAGGGAGAAACTGATATTGTGTAATGCCTATAAGCTACAAGTGGATAAAAGCGTGGGTGAGGAACCACAGCATCTCTCTTAGAATATGTGCATATCTCAAATCGGTGAATTAATGAATGTGAAATGCATCAGGAGAGAAGGCTGACTACAGAAGCAACACTTGGGTCTCCTAAATGAAGATAGAAGGCACCACATCAGAGATTCAAGCTTTTCTACACCCTTTGAATGCAAGCTAATAATTTCTCTTTTTTTTCTTCAAATAATATCAGTTTTAGGGGTGTATCAGTGGGGAGGTAGGTAAAGAGATGAATAGATAGAAAGATAGAACTAATTTGTCCATTTACGAATGGAAATGCTATAATCAAACCTGTTCCATATAAATAATATTCTGAAGTGATCTTTGTCCTACAGCGGCATTAGGTTATGTTTCAATTTCCCACAACATAATCAATATTAAATTTAACATATGCATTTGGACATGTTTATGAATGTTAGTTAACTTCTCTGAACAGAATTTTTTTTCACATCTCACCTGTATTGCAAGACTCAGTAATGAATAAACAAAATAAATAACCCAAATACTTCAATATTAATATAGAATGGTACGTTCCAAAAGAAAAGGCATTCATTGTCTATAGGAAATATTCACCCTACAGTTTCTATTTTCTTTGGGCCTGTTTCTTAGTTTCAAAATATTTTAATTATGTAAAATGTGTTATAAATAAAATAATTCCTATATATGTATCACATTTATTAAACATAGAGGAATGTCAGGTTACGTAATACCAAACAATAAATAAGTATAATTACATGACAACATTTTGAGTGCTTAAAGGAATAAATCTCTCTTATTAGGTTAAAATGTGAGTTAAGAAAACAGCAAGTCAGAATAAAAATCATATTTGGCATCATATGAATTCCAAGATTTAATTCTGCCTCCTTAATGCATCTTCAGTCACTTAAGATTTATATCTGTCAGGTATACTGGATTGATAATAATAGTACAAATGATTTTTAGAGACTGAACTTTGAAAAGAGCTGGCCAAAAGGCTCTCTGTTTGATCACTCTCTAACAGAAAATGGTCCTCATAAAATGTCCACTCAATTTAAATGGACATGTGATAAAACCATAAGATTTGTAATGACTTCAAAAAGTTGTTTGATCAAACTGCCTGCACAAATGCAGGAATGCTACTCCTAAATGTCCTCCCTCCCACACACATATTTGATGTGAGACTAAATACAAGTATGTGCGTGCCATGATATAACATATTGCAGTCAACAGAAAGATTTCTGATCATTTGAATGGGCTTTGGCTAGAGTTTTAATACTTCTAAAATTCTTACAGGCTCTTCTGAATCCATCTACAGGAAACTAGGTAAAAGTTTTCCTTGTCACTGCAGCCATAAATCTGCAGATGACACCATGCTGGGTCACAGGAAAGGACCAGGACTTCACATGCCGTAGGCATTGTTCAGGCAGGGCAACTGGGGCTAGGGGACCAAGTAAAGAGCTCGTTACTGATTCCCAAGAGGATGCTGGGTAACCAGGCGCAAGTTATATATGGAAAAAAATTGTACCCCTAGAGGTACTTGGAAAAGTCCCAGGGGGACCAAGTGGGTGGGCGGGGATGGAGCGCTGCCACCCACCACCAGGGTCGGGTGTGGGGTGTGTGGGGGGTGAGGGCAGCGGCACCCCTCTGCGAACAACATAAGTGCCCCAGCTGGCCAGATGTGGGAAGAGGGGAGCACGTACATGGTGGCTGCCACCACCATACACCACCTCACGCTGCTGCCACACACCGCTTTCCCATGGCCAGTCGCACATGCGGCTCCGTATGCTGCTGATGGGTGGCATGTGGTTGGCTGGGTGCACGGTCCATCAGTAGCCTGCAGAGGTGCTGCAGCACATGCAATTGGTTGTGGGAAAGTGGTGCGTGGCAGCAGTATGGGGCAGTGTGTGGCGGTAGCTGCGGACACGTGCAAGCCCCCCTCCTCCCTCACCCCCCTCCACATCCGGCTGCTGTCACCAGAAGGGGTACACTTCTTTTAAAAGTTTGAAAACCCCTGGTCTAAGCACATAAGCATCAAGGCTCTTTGGGTAAATGTGATGTCTTGTATTAGACCATCTAAATAGTTGGGAAAATTGTTCTTTGCAAGCTTGCAGAATCTCCCTATGCCTGAAGATGGGTGGTTGTGCCCGAAAGCTTGCAAAGAACAATTTTTCCAACTATTCAGTTGGTCGAACAAGAGTCAGAACACACTTTAATACATCTGAATGTGGCGGGAGTGGAAGTTTTTAGTGTTACAACATCTTCTCTCTTTCTTTACTCTTCCCCTTGAGACTGGCAATGTGACTTTATTTGTATTGTCTGGAGAATGAATATATTATTAACCCTCCCCTCCTCATTAATTTCCAAAGCCCTCTTGAAAAGACTCTGGGGAGATATACTTTCATTCAAGAAGGATAAATACTGAGACAGGAAAGAGGCTTGCTTTTTTTTTTGCACTAGCTGTAACAGAAGATACAAGCCAAGCTGCTCGTGTAGCTGAGAAGCATGTGAAGTAGACGGATTCTAGACAGAAGGCACAAAGGTGTCTGTATCAAAGGAGTCACACATCAGAGTTCAAAATTGGGCCTTTCACTCCTAACGGTATGTTAAGTTTTGGTACTCATATTTAGACTGAAATTGTCAGATAGAGAAATTACATAGTTTATCCTCCTTCTCCGGTGCAATATTTTTGTGTGTTGTAGCAATTTCTGCTGTGGTTTTGCTAGATAATGATTGAAGAACTCCAAGAGGGTATTATCCAGCTGACATCTAGATGGTGCCTGAAGCTCAACAGCAAATTTCAGCTCTTTGCATTAAAGGACTAGATGTCTCCGCACCAACTAGAAAACACTGTGGTTTTCAAAAGAACAAAGCAATTGTGATGTCTATCCCTCACTGAACATCAATGGAGAGTTGGGATGACATTCTACTTTTCCCTGACCATCTAAAAAGTCATTTTTGGATCATTGACAGGACATTTTTGGCACTTAGGTGCGGAGGGGAATTCTATTTCTTAGGTACATGTGGAAGACTATGTTGTCTCACTGACTGGTGACAGTAAAATGATAGAGAGAGCACACACTCCCAAATATAAGTACATAGCTAGGGCACACACATGGAAAGTCAGAGGATTTCAATGTTGGTATCTTTGGCACCTCCTAGCCCACCTTTGGGATCTGCAATCAGCAATGGATATAAGAAGACTATCTTAATAACAAGGTCCTGATAACTCTTAACAGGAGCAACATTTAGGTGTCATCTGTTCACAGTTTATTCTACAGTAGCCATTTGCTTACAGCAATGATTCTCAGCCAGGGTACCTTGGGGTGCCTCAAGATCATTTGAAGGGTGCTGCAGGAAGTAAGTGAGGAGCTAAGTGACATACAAAGAGATAAGCAAATAAGGGCAGGCTCCGGCTCTCCCTGCCTTGTTGCTGCCCTGCCACCATAGTCTGGCCCTTGTTCAAGGAGGAAAGCACAGTAACAAATAAATTAGTTTTTTAAACTGGGTGCCTTTCAATTCACAAAAGTTATGGAGGGGAACCTTGAATCTAATAACGGTGCAAAAAAGTCCAAAAAAGGCTGAGAACCACTGCCTTTCAATAAGTAGTTTATCATAATGCCATCTCATGGTAAGGCATTGTAATATTGGTCAACTGTGTACAGCCATCCCAGGACAGCAGCACATCAGCTTACTTTGCATCTCAATACAATTTACATCCGTGAATAAAGCCAATCTCAGTTACATAGCTGTAAGTTGATGTCTTTTATCCAGGTCATAACATAGGTCCCATAAAGCGCTCTATGTCAGCAGGTAGGATGTGGGTAAGGAGGAACATACTGGTGATAGCAGTCAGGTCATCACTCACTTGAACACTCATAAGTGGAGGGTCACCAGAGATAAATGAATTTGTATAGTAGGAGATCCAGAGGGTCACACTAATAAGTGCTTGATATATAAGCACATATGATTGATTTAAAGGTGGATATACCAGGTGACATGTCTTTCTGCTCTGCATTCTTGGATCAACTCTTAAGCAAGAAAATAGCAAGCAAGGTGAGAAATTCAGAATTTCTGGAACGAAATAGCAGCACTTGTTAAAATATAACTGTATCTTAAATGTAAATGATGGTGGTTGTTTTCTTTCCTGTAGATGCAACCCTTGACAAAAACCAAACAGGGAAATCAATCAATCATTACAGAATTTATCTTCCTGGATTTTAAGGATGCGCAGGAATGGCAGGTTCTCCTCTTCTTGGTGTTTCTAGTCATCTGCATTATCTCCATGGCTGGGAACATCCTCGTCGCTGTGCTAGTTGTGGCTGATCAGCACCTTCACACTCCTATGTACTTTTTCCTGGGGAACTTGTCCTGTTTGGAAACTTGCTACACCTCCACTATTCTCCCCAGGATGTTGGCCAGCTTCCTGACAGGGCACAGAACCATTTCAATGAGGGCCTGTCTCACACAAATGTATTTCTTTGGCGCTCTGGGAGCTGCAGAATGTTACCTTTTAGCAGCCATGTCTTACGATCGGTATTTAGCCATCTGTAAACCATTGCATTATGTAGGTCTTATGAATGGCAAGTCCTGCCTCCAGCTAGCAGGTGGGTCTTGGATAATCGCATTTCTGACTATTAGTATAATTGTGTTATTGATCTCTCGGTTAACTTTCTGCGGTGCTAATGAAATTAACCATTTCTTTTGTGATCTCACACCGGTGGTAAAACTTGCCTGCACGGATACCAGGGTGATGGAGCTTACAGCTTTCATCTCCGCTTCCATAGTGACTCTGCCACCATTTCTATTAACTGTTGTATCCTATGTTCTTATTATAGGCACTGTTCTGAGAATCCCTTCCACCACTGGAAAGCAAAGGGCATTTTCCACCTGCTCCACGCACCTCATAGTGGTGACAATTTTCTATGGGACCCTAACAATTGTGTACGTCTTACCAAAAACCAAGACTCTTAGAGACCTGAACAAAGTGCTCTCTCTTTTCTACACAGTCCTGACTCCCCTGGCCAATCCTCTCATATACAGCCTGAGAAACAAAGAGGTAAAACAGTCCCTGAGAAAAGCCGTCAGGAAATTTATGGCTTTCATAAGAATTCAGGCAATTAGAATGAATTTATTTAAGTTAATAAAAAGCTGAAAATACCCTAGTTGGGATATGTGAGAAGGAAGGGGGGTTTTGGTAATATCTTTATTGGATTGAGTATATAGTTGGGAGAGATGTTACACAAGCTTTCAGGTGCACACTGCCCTTCTCCAGGTCACAAAGGTACAGTTTAGGACCCCCTTCTGCAAAAGCTTGTATTCTGAATGGCTCAAGGTGTGTGAGGGGGAACAGAAGTTGAAAGCATCCCATTATTAAGCTAGGTTGCATTTTTTGCCCCAGATTACATTTAAAAAGTTTAAGATCCTCTTTAAAATATTTTTACACAGAATTTTTTTTTAATGTGTTAGTTTTGGAGGGGTTTTTGTGACCTGCATTACAACTGGGACCAGAAGCATCCTCATTCATCCATCAGTTGGGGTGATCAGCACCTTTGGATGTCCTTCTTCCTAGGAGACTTGTCCTGCTGGGGAACTGTTCCACCTTCACCATAATTCTTACGATGCTGACCATTTCCGTAACAGGTATAAAATCTTCCTTTCACTGGCTGTATTGCTCCATTTTCTTTTGCCAATGCCTATCAACTGTAGAATACTACCACCTAATCCTCATTGTCTCCAGAGACCGATGGCTGCTAACGAACCACCTAGCTTCAGTATCTTGTGATCAGTACTTAGTATTAATTAAACCATTGGATTATACTGAATCCAGTCAGTTCCTGGCTCCTGTACAACTAAATTTGCAGTGATTCGTGTAATAATATTGATGCTACAATTAACAAATCTGCTGTCCCAGATAAGCCAGCCATTTCTTCTTGGTTGGTGCTCAAAATAAAACACTTCCGCAGTGAGCCCCTCTTGATAAAACTAGTGATAAAAATGGGTACATGCAGAGAGAACACTCTTCTTCCTTTAACACTGATCTCCTTGGCTGGAATAATCTAGTTGGGGGTAGTCTTGCTTTGAGCAGAGGGTTGGACTAAACAACCTCCTCAGGTCCCTTCCAACCCTCATTGTCTATGATTCTATTATTCCTATCTTAATATCCTTTCAGCCATCCTGAGAAACACTTTTCTCCATGTGCTTCTTTCATATTATCATGGTTATAGCTTTCTACATGGCCCAAGTCATCTTTGATGGATCACAAATTTATTCCCCTAAGCTATGAACAGACGTCACTTTTGGCCCAGAAGAAACTGTTCTCTCCCAAGGCAGGATTTGGTTATTCAGACACCTATTTCCAATGTCCTCAACCAAAGCCTGAAAATCCATGGAGAATAAAAAAAAAAAAATGGTAACAAATCCTCCTGGAACACTGTTAATTATGTCTGAATGGTGGTCTTGTTCTGAGACATACATTCCAGTTAGTCCTCCAGGCATCCCATAATGCACCGATTTTGTCCCAATCCTAGCTCCTCTGGTGCCAAACTTCTATTGCCAAGAGGTGATGAGGCACAGGTGGCCTCACCCACCTATTAATTGCTCTGCATCATGAGCTGCCATCCATTCTGCACTCACCAGTCATTCAAGGTCAGCACTGGAGCCTGTTTCCATCTGAACAACCACAGACACAACCACACATTAGGGGCATCCATCCATTGGCAATATATTAGGACCCATCCACCACCCATCAAGCCAAAGTCAGACATCCACATGCCTCTATCTATCTGTCTTACTTGAACTATGGTCACTCCATCTGCGTCCTGTGTGAGGTGCCAGAGTAGCACTAACTGGATTAGGGAAGATGTAGATCTCATCACCATTTGCAGACAGGCGGAGAACAAGCAGGCACTCTGTTCAAGGCATAGAAACCAGGTAGTCTTTGAATGGATCACTATGGAAATAGCACTCATGGACATGACCATTACTGGTTCCAATGCTGCTCCACATGCAAGATCATGAGGAAATAGTTCACAAGGGCATGGGCTTCCAAGCATGTGTCAGGTGCACACTGGGTCACATGCCCCTTCTACAAGGAACTCTCCAACATATTTGAGGTGAACAATGATGTGGATCCAGCCACATCACCCAGTAAAGTGAAGGTTCCTGATGCCACCATGGTCAAAAGCACCCAACCCTCACAAATTACTTCAGCAATGACCCAGAAGATGATCCAGGTCAAGGACTTTCAGGCTGTTCCAGTCAGCATGGACTTGGAAGTGGACCTGAGCTCAGACAGTAAGTGGCCAGAGTCTTCTGGCCATTCCCTGTCTGCACCATCTCAGCTAGTCCCATTGCTCTGCATCAATAACCTAGAGTCAAGATGTTTTCGGTCCACTTAGGACCACGTGAGCTCCCTATCAGTGACTAAAGTGACTTCTCCTTAGTCCCAGAAATACAGTGTACAAGAGGACCATACTCATGTCATGACTCAGCCCACATCTGCAAATGGTAAGTGGCAGTCCAAAGCTAGATTAAGATAGAAAAGGACCAAGTAATGCTAGGGAGTGAGTGAGGATGCAGAACAGTCTCTGTGCAACCTCATGGCGTCACGTAGGGACTGCCCTCTCTCCCCCAGCCCTCATGTGACTACAATGTGTGTTAAGAGTAGTACTACTTAAATCAGATGAGGAGATTAAGGGCGTCTTTTTTTTTATTTTTATGGAGGTGTATCCATAATGGTCAGCATGCCAACATTGAACCTTCTCAGTTGGACAGTGATAGAAGAAATTAAACGCAGGCAAAATAACCATTTCTCACTTACTATCTCATGCGCTCCCCACCATCTCACACCATAATAGCTGGCCCACAGCTACAAACACCCTCCCTGTTCTGCCTAGCTTCATATCCAGACTCTAAATAAAGCACTAGGCATTGTGCCAAGGAATATGGTGACTTGCCCAACTCTCACCCCCAGCCCCTCTCTCTCATAGCTAGGTGATTTCTAATCACTTAGTCACTGCTGCTGAGGAAATAGGTGCTTTTCCTGCATCCTGCCCCACCCCTTCCCTCTCTGGTCATCCCAAGAGAATCCTACTGACATGGCATACCACCTTTTGGCTCCCCTTCACCTCATCCCCTAGTCCCTCCACCCAACAAACACAGTTTGTGGTCATGGGTTCTTTCACAGCTGCAGGTATTCACATGGGGGAGGATAGGAGCACTCAGTTCATTGCTTTCTCAAGCTTTGCATCTTGAGCAGTGTAGTGCCAACATCTCTCATGCTTATGCCAGCAATTGGCTACCTGTTATGCTTGAGACAGGTTTATGGTGGCTTGATTGTATCCTGGTTGGACTGTGTGAGGTAGTGATCCCAGGTGGTCAGGTACCTCGGCAGATGCTCTATTATATTCTAAGGTAAGGCCCTACACTTTGTTGAGCCATTGTAGCACCCTCCCTTTCCTGGAGTCAAAGTCAGCTAGGACCACCATTTCTTGCAGTAGCAGGACAACAAAGACTGGTGGGTTACATTGTGTGAGTGATCCCTGCCTCTGGCCAAGGTGATGGTATTCTGCATTTATAGGCAAGTGCTGTTAGAGATCACACCACAGACCAGTATTATGACAGCTTATATGAGCAGAATGTCAGTACCAATACCACCATACTGCCCCCACCCCAAGTGGCTAGCACAGTTTTAGGGGACCTGAGCACTTTGGGCTCATAAGCTTTGCTATACCCATACAATGTAGGACCGTGACTGCTTTAGGGGGACCTCCTGATTCTTCTGAGGATAAGGGGAGAAGAGGGGAGAGTGAACATACCATGCTGAGAGCTAGTGGGTCAAATGATCCTGTCCACTGACTAGATAGCCTTACACATTGCAACTTTGGCTGGGAAGTTCTTCATGCTATCAGGGCAGAAGTGAGCAAAACAACGAACTCCTGTTTCCATGCTCTCCTGTCATGCCACATACCTATAAGTAGCAATGATGGCACCTCAGCATCAGATAATGTCCCAAGCCTATGGGACCAGGTAGAGGAAAAGCCAATGCGCACACAAGCATGGACATGCTGAAAAATCAGGAGGAGGCCAGCTGGTCCTAGGTCAAGGAAGCTAGATTATGGCAGTGCATGGCAACAGCACATGGGATCAAGTGCTCTCCAAATGGCTTTCCAGATGGTATGCAGTGGCCTAGGCTTGCTATGTGGCTATTGCTGAGTGGAAAACAGAGGCACTCATGGAACCCGTGAGTCAAGTGGAGCCTATGCATGGCCTGAAGTCTGTACTGACCTTGTAGACAGAGACCATCCTTGGCATGTCATACCTCAATACAAAAGTCCAGCCAGACTGTCCATGGTCCCCTGAGGACACATACTTCCACCAGGCTGCACATTCCCAAGGTGTGCCTGAAGGCTGAGACAGGAGTGAGCAGGCTCCAGCTATGTACCAGGTGTCATGGCTGTAATGGACATCCAGCAGTGGTGGTCAGCAGTTGACTATGTAATGCATGATTGGGCTGCAGCCATGAAGGACCCACTCAGTGCTGACCTTCTCGGGGCAGTAAAAATGGACATGGGACCTTAGGAAAATGTTGGCTCTTTGGGATATATGATGAGGGAACGGTTGCTATTTTGCCTGTATTTGGTTTCTGGTTCTGTTCATCCTGTTTTTGGTGTCCTGGGAATTTTTGGTTGCACTGTTTAATAGAAGACCTGCCCATTGTATAACATATAAACATGGTGTGCACAGTATGTATAGGGCTGGAGGCTTCGCCAGGTAAGACAAGTATTCAGTGGGAAAAAAGCTTGAGCAGAAGTGTCTTCTACCCTTTCCCAGGCTGGGAGGCTGGCTCACTCCCAGCCCCACCTAGTCTCCACAGTAACTATGCGGCCTGTATGGAGCTCAGGGAAGCTGGCACAAGCATCTTCTGTTGGCATCATGCCTGCTCAGCATGTCCACTGTGCCCATTGCCACCCCAACACTTCTGCCAGTGCTGGAAAATAATCACACAAGAGTGCAGATTCTGCTGACAATGTTTAATGGATTGCAAGAGAAGACCTCTCTACAAATCACCATGCAGACCCTCATCCCAGACTCTGGCATCTGACACACACACGCATTTCCCTGTGACTGACATCCCCATCATGATCTGTAGCACAGTTCATGTGGCTTTCAGGGACAGCTCTTGCTTCAACCATCAGCTGATGACATAAGGGCTTCTCCTTGGCCTCCCTGGTTTGGAGAGGTTCCCACATTAGCCTGAATATATCTTTGGTGTGGTAGCTGTTGGCATGAAGGGAGAGCAAGGCATAGCCACAAGGAAGGCCTTTTGGTGCTTGGAAGTGCACGAGCTTATTCCCTGGGTGTTGTCCTTCACTTGTTATACAAATGTCTGAAGCCAGGTTGGCCATCAAGGTCTACTGATGATACCTCTTCCATGCAACCAACCATGAGCACAAGCTTACAATGCCTGCAAAACAAGGCACATGTCTGGATCTATTCTGAAGACTGGCTAATAGCCATAGGTGGTTGTGGTACCAGTGAAAATGCCAGGGCAAGAGC